CACCTGCATCTGGGCATTGGACCAAGGTGCTGCAGTTGGGGTTTCTCTCCATGGAGACAACCAGCCCTCCTAAGCTGATGGAGAGAGGTTGGAGTTGTCACATCCCGGTGCTGGCTTTCCTTTAGGTCAGGTGAATTGCTGTCCAGAGGCATTTCTCTTCCCCATTGACTTCCCATTGAGAAAGCTACACCAGTAGTACATCACTCTATGTCAGTACATCAGTAGTACATCTGTAGTACATCACTACATCAGAGTACATACTCTACATAGTAGTACACCAGTAGTACATCACTCTATACCAGTAGTACATCACTCTGTCAGTACTTCAGTAGTACATCTGTAGTATATCACTACATCAGAGTACATACTCTACATCAATAGTACATCAGTAGTACATCAGAGTACATCACTCTACATCAGTAGTACATGACTACATCAGTACATCAGAGTACATACTCTACATCAGTAGTACATCAGTAATACGTCAGTAGCACACCTGTAGTACATCACTACATCAGTAGTACATCAGTAGTACATCAGAGTACATCACTCTACATCAGTAGTGCACCAGTAGCGCACCAGTAGCGCATCACTCTCCATCAGTAGAGCATCACTCTCCATCAGTACATCACTAGTACCTCAGGAGTACATGGCTCTACACCAGCAGTACACCAGGTTGCTTTCCAGAGCTCCACAACGTGCCCTTTCAGCACAAGCCTTGCCCATAAAAGTGGCTCATCCCCACTTACTGGTGTTCGCATCCTGTGCCGCTCAAACCCAGTCTAAGAGAGAGCAGGGTCCTCAACCAGGATGCTCTTTGGCGCTTAGGTCTCCAACGCATGGGTTGTGCCAATGGGATGAGGTTCAAGAAGGCAAAGTGCCACGTCCTGCACTTGGGACACAACAACCCCCTGCAACGCTCCAGGCTTGGGGAAGAGCGGCTGGAAACTGCTCCTGGGAAAGGACCTGCATCGATGGAGCTGAACATGAGCAGTCAAGGGGCTGGTGCAGGGCCAGGAGCACAAGGGGATGGGGAAGGGCTGAGGGACCTGGGCTGTTCGGTCTGGAGAAGAGGTTGGTCTTTGCCAACCTGGTTGAGGCCATGATTCTACTTCTCATGCACGATGCTTGTGCTGGAGCCGGGGGCATCTGATTGCTTCGGGGAGGCTTGTTCCTTGGCCATAAGGAGGGAAGGGGCAGCCTGGTCTCCTTTAATGGTTTCATGGGGTCTCCTTTAATGGTCTCCAATAGAACTTGAGGCCGTAATAGCAGGGTCTTGGTTCTATGTCCCATGTTAAGGGGATGAAGCATCACCTGAGCCCTTCCTTCCAAGGAAACCTCGCACCAGCAGTTTTGCACCAATTTATTAGCAATGTCCCAAGAAAATACAAAACCCTATTTACAAGGAGCTCACCAGACACAAGGAGCAGGGGACACGGAGCCCAGAGGGGGCAGAGCGCAGGTAAAGGACATCCACAGGAGGAAGAGAAGCAGCCCTGCACCTCCCCTGCATGGATGGGCGATGAACCCAGAGGAACGTGCCCATAAGCTACATCCCACCCCTAATCCTGTGTTACTCATCCTCATGAGGACTTCCACCTCCCTGAGCATGTTCCTCACTGCTCAGCCCAAGGGCTTTTGGAGGAAGTGGCTTGGATGGAGGCAAGAGAAGAGGGCTCAGGACGCATGCATGGAGGGGCAGGAGCCACCCCCATTGGAGTGGCTTGAGCTGGAGCAGGTTCCATGCAAGCTTTTCCCACACCAGAGCACAAAGCCAGGACGAAGCAGCAGCGAAATCCCTCCACAGCAGAAGGAAAGAGCCAGAGCTCCAGAGATCAGCTCCGTGTTCTCCTCCCCAGGGCCAGGCTGAGGGGTCCCAGCACACAGATGGGGGCTGCAGGGCTCTGGGCTGCGTTGTCCTCCAGAGGAGGAGCTTTGGGACCGTGTCAGAGGCAGAACTCATCACATGGCTCCATTCTCCCTCCTCGAGAGCTGGAAAGCAGAAATACCCAAAGGTCTTCTGCTGTGAGCACACGGCGGCCACAATCTGCTATTCCAGAGGTGCCTGCGTGGGTCTGAGCCAGGAAATTCCCACTTCCAACTCCTATTCCATCAGCTTTTTGGTGCTTCCCATGCTGCCCCCTCTCCCAGTTCTGCCTGCTCAGAAATCCAGTGTGTGTCTTTCTCTGCAGAGATCAGTGCCTCATGAAATCAATGCAATGCAATGCCAAATCAGTGCAATGCAATGCCAAATCAGTGCAATCCCATTCAAATTCAGTGCAATGCAATGCCAAATCAGTGCAATGCAATGCCAAATCAGTGCAATGCAATGCCAAATCAGTGCAATCCCATTCAAATTCAGTGCAATGCAATGCCAAATCAGTGCAATGCCAAATCAATGCAATGCAATGCCAAATCAGTGCAATGCCATTCAAAATCAGTGCAATCCCATTCAAATTCAGTGCAATGCAATGCCAAATCAGTGCAATGCAATGCCAAATCAGTGCAATGCCAAATCAGTGCAATCCCATTCAAATTCAGTGCAATGCAATGCCAAATCAGTGCAATGCAATGCCAAATCAGTGCAATGCAATGTCAAATCAGTGCAATGCCAAATCAATGCAATGCCAAATCAGTGCAATGCAATGCCAAATCAGTGCAATGCCATTCAAAATCAGTGCAATCCCATTCAAATTCAGTGCAATCCCATTCAAATTCAGTGCAATCCCATTCAAAATCAGTGCAATGCCATTCAAAATCAGTGCAATGCAATGCCAAATCAGTGCAATGCAATGCCAAATCAGTGCAATGCCATTCAAAATCAGTGCAATCCCATTCAAATTCAGTGCAATCCCATTCAAAATCAGTGCCATGCCATTCAAAATCAGTGCAATGCAATGCCAAATCAGCGCAATGCAATGCAAAATCAGTGCAATGCAAAGAAAAATCAGTGCAATGCAATGTCAGATCAGTGCAATGCAATGCCAAATCAGTGCAATGCAAAGAAAAATCAGTGCAATGCGAAATCAATGCAATGCAATGCCAAATCAGTGCAAAGCAATGCAAAAATCAGTGCAATGCAAAATCAGTGCAATGCCATTCAAAATCAGTGCAAAGTGATGCAAAATCAATGCAATGCCATTCAAAATCAGTGCAGTGCAATGCAAAATCAGTGCAATGCTATGCAAAAATCAGTGCAATGCCATTCAAAATCAACGCAATGCAAAATCAGTGCAATGCCAAATCAATGCAGTGCCATTCAAAATCAATGAAATGCAATGCAAAATCAATGCAATGCCATTCAAAACCAGTGCAATGCAATGCAAACTCAGTGCAATGCAATGCAAAAATCAGTGCAATGCCAGTCAAAATCAATGCCATGCCAAATCAGTGCAATGCCATGCCAAATCAGTGCAATGCCAGTCAAAATCAGTGCAATGCAAAATCAGTGCAATGCCATTCAAAATCAATGCAACACCAAATCAGTGCAATGCAACGCCAAATCAGTGCAATGCAACGCCAACTCAGTGCAATGCCAAATCAACGCCATGTAATGCCAAGTCAGTGCAATGCAACGCCGAATCAGCGCACTGCAATGCAAAGGAGTCTCCTTTCTCCCTCAAACCACTTGGGATTTGGGTTCCTTGGTGCTCTGGGGAGGAAGCCACAGGGGAAGGTGTCTCCTGTGCCTCCCCTCCCCTGCATGAGCAGGGCCACGGGGGTGAAGCAGCTCCCTGCATGCAGTAACTTTCCGGTGCCCAGAGCACGTGTGGCCGCAGGATCCAACATGTGAAGGGGAGCAGCCGGGGCAGGGGAACGTGCGGGATGGAGCGTTGGGGCTCAGCCCGTCCCCCAGCGCGCTGGAGGCAGCTCCGTGACGCACTTGCCATTCCCGGGGCGATGGGAGATAGGGCTCCTATCAGCAGCAGGGATCGCGTCTCGAACGGGAGCGAGAGGCTGCTTATCTGCAGGGTTAGACATTAGCCAGCTGAGCCCCCAAAGAGGGGAATGCGAGCAAGGGCAAGGTGGAAAGTTACCACCAGTGTCCTCGCTGACATCCCTGCCTGGGATAGGAGACCTGGGAAAGGGCCAGGGCAGGAGGGAGAGGCATCCGTGGGGTTTGGTTTGGGGCAGCAGGAATTCACCTCGGTCTGGGGGGTTGTGACCGTTTAAGCGCATTGATCTCACGCTACCAAGGTGGGTCGGGAAGGGTCAGATCCTTATGGGGGGTGTCAGGATGTGGCCTCTCGTTCCCCGCATTGGGATCTGCGGGCTGTGAACATCAGCTTCTCCCATCGCTGCCAATAATCCTCCCATGGGATCCCACCTCTCCCAGGTTCCTCTGGGGGGACTGACATCCCTGTTCCATTGAGTGCGAGGCAAATCCACACCGCTTAACATCCCCTCATCCCACCCGGGGAAGGAAGGACAGAGCAGTCCCAGCCCCACAGCAAAGGACACACAAGAATTCCTTCTTTGGGGAATGAGGGATGTCCCCAAAGAGACCGCACGTCCTGAGCAGCAGGTTCCCTTGTGCCTGGGGGACTGCTTGCTGGGGCATCCATAGGTGATCCCATGCTCTGCATTCCTCAAAGCAGGCACTATCAGGAATCTGATGCAGGAGAGAAAGGATTCACCAAGCCCTTCCCCTTCGTTCAGCTGCTTTTCCTAGCAAAATTCCCTGCTCCTTAATGCTCCATTCCCTTTGCAGAGCTTCTCTGCAGCCCCAGAGGTGCAGGACTCAGACATAGCCCCTGTGGAGAAGAAGATCATGGTCTCATGCCTCTGGTCTGGCTCAAGCTCAGGAGGATGGAGGGAGCAGAAGACACAGAACACTTAAGCCCCGCTTTGCTTTCTGGCTCACAAAGACCTAACAGCATATGTACAAGTGGCAGGGGCACCGCAGGGGCTTTGCTCAGCTGCACGGATGGAGCTGGGGCCACAAAGGGTGGATTTGGTTTCGTTCGGTTGCATTTAACCCCTTCTGCTTAGGATCAAACGCTCGCATCTTGGCAGCCGAGGCGCTGCTTGGCTGCGCTCACTCCTGGCTGGAGCCAAAGAACTGGAGGAAGAAGGAGAAGATGTAGATGATGTCCAGGTAGATGTTGAGGGCTCCGAAGATGTATTCCTCGGGGCTGAGCGAGTACCGGCGGTTCCCCATCAGCATCTGGGTATCGAATGCCAGGAACTGGGAGGAGAAGGGGGAAGAAAGGCAGCGTGGTTACAAGGTTTGGCACAGGGAGGTGAGAGCACAGAGGACTTCCCCCAGGGGAAAACGCAGCCACCTCTTACAGGCTGCAGGTGCAGTTTAAAGGCTCCGGACAAGGCACTGAACAAGCTGCGACTTTCCCCTTCCTTCGTTTCTTAACACTCGAAGCCAGAGCCCAATTGTCCCTTCAGACCCTCTCCTTCACGCTTCACCCATCCCAAACGTGGCCCAGGATGGGCTCCGGAATGGTCCTCCCTGTTCCTATGACTTGTTATCCTCGCCTTCCTCACTTCAGAAGCTGCCACACAATGAGGTGGCCTGGCCCCAACACAGCACCACCAGGACAATCAGAGCACGGAACCCCACATCCCAAGGGGATTTAACACCAACCAAGTCCTTGGCACACTGAAACCAGCACAGTGGGAACAGGGGCTCAAAGCCTCGCACCTCGTGGCATCGCTTCAAGCCCAGCATCTTCTCCCATCTCCCCTTCGGAACACCTCGGCAGAGCTCTCCATGGCCTGGGGTCAAGCGGCACCTCTGCCCTCCCCAGCCATAAATCACAACTGCTCTCTCCAGACACCATCAGCCTGGGCTGAAGGTTCCTTGCCAGGTTCTGACTGAAGTTTATGGGGTAATTAGGTGATGTTGAGCCCACTTGTACTTTATGGAGCAGTCCCAGGCCGTGAATCACGGCAGGAGCAGCCGAGCTCCCTTGCCATGACTTTTATAGCTAATAAATGCAATTGCTCAACTGCTCTTATTCACCACGTGCCCAGTGGGCACCGCCTTGGAGCCCAAGGCAGCCTCCTCCTGACCCCCCCCGCCTCCCCACCTCCAGGTAACACCGAGCATCTTCCCAGACACCTCCCATGGCTGCCTGCGAGCACGGCACTGCCGGGACTTGCTCTGGGAAGACACAGGAGGGAGCAACGGGGAGCGATGAGGAGCAATGGAGCCTGTTCAGTGTTCCTTGAAGGAGCTGCCTGGCTTCAGGGCTTTCCCTGCCTGCAGTGAACCTGAAACCCAAACCACGGCCTCCCGCTGCCTTCCTGCTGCTCCAGCTCATCCCCAGTCCTTGCCTTGCTCCCGCTGCACGGCCTCCAATGGATGCTGCATCCAGCATCCCGGCTCCCACTGCTTGGTCCCGGCTTTCCCCTCTCCTTTTTTACCCTGGCTCTGTGGTGTTCCCTGCTCTTCACACCTTGCGTTGCGCACGGAGCATGGGCTTGCCCATGGCACCACGCTCTGCACCGCGCGCCGTCACGTACACCAGCACCTCGGCATGGGGCTGAGGTCACTGCAATTACTCCTGAGCGCTGCAATCCCAACCCTTCCCTCTTCCCCTTGCAGGCTAACAGCACGCCATCCTGCTGCTTCCCCTGCCAGCGCATTCCGGGGAGCAGCACCCACTTACCATAGTGAAGATAATGGCACCGAGCAGAGCGTAGATCGCATGGAGCCAAGGGACCTAGAGGCAAGGAATCCATCAGTCAGTGCCTGAGGGGGGGGGGAACCACTCCATGAGGATGTGTGCAGGGGAGGGCTGGGTTCTAACGGGGAGGATCCAAGGGAGGGAAAGGGCTCTGGTACCCCGAATGGACTCGCATCACTTGCACGCTCCCTACAGTGGATGCTCCCATGGCAAAGCACACGTCACTGTGCCTCAGTTTCCCCTCTCACTACGGTCTTGGTGTCCATTCAGGTTTCCCACATGTCCCTATGGGAAACTCCTGGTGCTATCCTGATGGAAACGCCTTCTGCGGCAGCTCCCCAGGGTGCCCGTTACCCCGACAAGGCTGATCCCATCGGGAGCAACACGGAACGCTTGCAAGAGCCAGAGCCAGCTTCAAGGTCCGGCAGGGAAGGCACCGGGATGAGGAGCACGGCTCCCGCTGCGGCACACAGCGGCGCTGATGGAGGAGGAGCTGATTCAACCCCAGCTCGCACCCTGCTCCTCAGAGACAAGCTCATTACAGCCCTGCCCCGAGCTATGCTTATCTTGACACCGCAAGATAAAGAGCAGTTGTCTCAGCAGCTTAATGGCTGGGAGCTGCTGCACCCGCACGTTTGTGCAGGGTGAGAGGTGCATCTCCAACAGAGGCAACCAGAACCCGAGCTCCCCAGCCTGGATAAACCCAGGTCCTTTGTGCAGGGTGAGAGGTGCATCTCCAACAGAGACAACCAGAACCCGAGCTCCCCAGCCTGGATAAACCCAGGTCCTTTGTGCAGAGTGAGAGGTGCATCTCCAACAGAGACAACCAGAACCCGAGCTCCCCAGCCTGGATAAACCCAGGTCCTTTGTGCAGAGTGAGAGGTGCATCTCCAACAGAGACAACCAGAACCCGAGCTCCCCAGCCTGGATAAACCCAGGTCCTTTGCACAGGGTGAGAGGTGCATCTCTAACCAAGACAACCAGAACCCAAGCTCCTCAGCCTGGATAAACCCAGGTCCTTTGCGCAGGGTGAGAGGTGCATCTCCAACAGAGACAACCAGAACCTGAGCTCCTCAGCCTGGATAAACCCAGGTCCTTTGCACAGGGTGAGAGGTGCATCTCTAATCAAGACAACCAGAACCCGAGCTCCTCAGCCTGGATAAACCCAGGTCCTTTGCGCAGGGTGAGAGGTGCATCTCCAACAGAGACAACCAGAACCCGAGCTCCCCAGCCTGGATAAACCCAGGTCCTTTGTGCAGGGTGAGAGGTGCATCTCTAACCAAGACAACCAGAACCTGAGCTCCGCAGCCTGGATAAACCCAGGTCCTTTGTGCAGGGTGAGAGGTGCATCTCCAACAGAGACAACCAGAACCCGAGCTCCTCAGCCTGGATAAACCCAGGTCCTTTGTGCAGGGTGAGAGGTGCATCTCCAACAGAGACAACCAGAACCCGAGCTCCTCAGCCTGGATAAACCCAGGTCCTTTGTGCAGGGTGAGAGGTGCATCTCTAACCAAGACAACCAGAACCCGAGCTCCTCAGCCTGGATAAACCCAGGTCCTTTGCACAGGGTGAGAGGTGCATCTCTAACCAAGACAACCAGAACCCAAGCTCCTCAGCCTGGATAAACCCAGGTCCTTTGCACAGGGTGAGAGGTGCATCTCTAACCAAGACAACCAGAACCTGAGCTCCCCAGCTTGGACAAACCCAGGTCCTTTGTGCAGGGTGAGAGGTGCATCTCTAACCAAGACAACCAGAACCCGAGCTCCCCAGCCTGGATAAACCCAGGTCCTTTGCGCAGGGTGAGAGGTGCATCTCTAACCAAGACAACCAGAACCCGAGCTCCCCAGCCCGGATAAACCCAGGTCCATCAGCAGAGTGACCGCAGGGGCAAGCACCAGGGAGTGCCTGTGCAGGTCTGGTCCTTAAAGCGTGACTCAGGTGCCTGGACAAAGCCAAGTGAGAGGGCAGGGATTTGGAGGTGATTGAAAGGCTGCTTGTGATGGAGGCTGGCGGTGACTGGTGGTGGCTGCACAGCCCCACACACCTTCCTTCTTTCACCGCCGTCTCCAGGTGACAGCTCACACAACGGGATGCTCCCGGATGGAGACCAGACACCCCATCCTGGCACGGCAAAGCCTCTTTCAGGTGTGGTCACAACCAGCTCCCAATGCAACGCAATGGGGTCACAAGCACAGCCAATGCCAGCACTGACCGGAAGGAAGGGGATGGACCCATGTAAGAGCAGTGGGAAGAGCATTAAGGGGGTCACTCTTCACCAGGACCAGTCATCACCCTCAGAGCTGCTCATCCATGAGCTTGTGTGGGGTGAACACAGCCAGGTGTGGACAGAGAGAAGGACACCCCACAGCTCTTGTCCTGCCCTGAATGCAGAGCAAGAGCCCTCCATGGGGCAGGGCAATGCTTTAACGTGCTCATTGCACTGCTGTTAGTGGAGGGGAAACTGAGGCACTGGGATGGGATGTGCCATGGGGTCACTACACAGCTCCAGGACAGAAACCCCAGCCCAGGGCTGTCCTACAACCTGACAACAACCGCCTGTTCCTTCTGCACTGGGACCCCCCTCTCCATCCAGGCTCTGCTTTAGGCAGCTCAGCTCCAGCCTCGCACCAGGATGGTGGCACTGGGAGGGGGGGAGATGGAGGGCAGAGCTCGTTACTCACATATTGGTAGGGCAGTATCACGGCCAGGATAATGCCACCGAAGAAGAGGACCATGAGCATCACGAAGAGCACCCCCTGGTAGGAGGTGAAGTCAAACTGCGGGGGTGAAGAGCAGCACGTTAGAGAGGGGCAGAGAGATGAAATGGGGCAGTTGAGGGGACCCCTGCCCCCCTCCAGGGCCATAGGGAGGGATCTCCAGCAGCAAATCCCTCCTGTTTCACCTGCACCTACGGCCTAACACCAGCCTGGAGGAGAGAAGCTGCGTGGAGAGCTCAGTGGCTGAAGGGGGCTACAAGGATGCTGGAGAGGGACCTGCAGCAGGGGCTGGAGTGATGGGACAAGGGGTGATGGGGTGGGTGGCTTGGAACTGGATGATCTTGAGGTCCCTTCAACCCAAGCCATGCTGTGATTCTATGGCACACAGAGCCAAACGCTTTCCATACCCCTTTTACTGCCACGGGCAAGGGCTCAGCACTCATCCCTTAGCTCACCCCAGAAGCCCATCATACACCTTCTGTACCCCACAGCCTAACCCCCCCATTCCAGCCCCACCTATACCCTGGCACATCCCTCACCCCTCACACTCCATAACCTCCACTTTCCACCCCAGCATCCCTCAGGTTGCTCCCGTATCCGGATCCCGACAGACCCCAGCACTGTGTGAGCTGCTGCTTCCCCCAGGGGCTGAGCAGCACAGCCTCACCTTGGTCTGGAAGCTGAAGACCACAACGGACAGACACACCAGGGCTGTGATCCCCAGGCACAGGAGGACGGACTTGGTGTTGTAGTAACTGCCGGATCAACAGGGACGTGGGCAAGGAGGGGTTACAACAGCAGCGCAGCAGAGATGTGCAAGGAAAGGGAATCCCAGGGGCACAAAGAGCACTGGCAGGGTCAACGTCCCCCCTTTAGTGTATGAAGGGATGAGCAGGGAACACCACAAAGAGAGCAGCGGGGTTTTCCTCCTGCTTTAAACAAGGAGGGTGGGCAGGGGGGCACGTCTGGAGCTCCGGAGCAGCAGGGATGGGGACGGGCTGTAAGCAGCTCCCTGTGCATGGACAGATGGAGAAAGGGGAGGATTCACACGGGGAGGGAATGAAAACAGGATGGCAAATATCACTGCAGCCCAATGGGAAAGCTGCAACCACCGTTACGCTTGGAAAAGGAGGGATTTGAATGGGGAGAGGCTTTTGGAGCTGGTCTGAGCGCCCGAGCACTGGTTTGGGTGCTCAGCCCTAGGAAAAGGCAGCCTCCATCACCCTCGTGGTGTGCTTCGCAAGCAGCATCGCTGGCACTTTCCCCCCTCGCTGCTGATGCTGTTGCTCTCTTTGTTCCAGCACGGATCCATCACCACCCCCTGGCTCATCTGCTGCATCACCGGGGCCCCACGTGAGCCGGGGCTGAGCCTGGCCCTGTTGTACCAGGGACAACGGCAGGCACAAGGGAGCAAGGGGGCAGGAGCCCCGAATGTGCTGGAAAAGGCCCCCGTGTGCCACTGCAGCCCCATGTGCTCGAGTGGGAAAGGGGAGACCCCAGGGAACGTGGTGGCCTAGAGCCCATCCACGCAGGGTCTGCCTTGTCCTGGCTCTGCAGGGTTCAGCACAGCCGGAGCTGCGTGTGCCTCAGCTGTGACAGGGAAGGGGATGCCACCGCAGGGCTTGGCTTTAAGATCATTCCCAATAGGGAAGCTCAGGCTTTGGAAGAGCTCCAGGCAGCAGCACCCCATCTATTTCAGGCAGAGGGAAGTCTTTTGGGCAGGGCACAGGGCTGGAAGCATCCAGAGACCTGGGCTCAACCTACCTGGAGAGCATCCCAGTGAGATAGGCCATGGAGAGGGTCTGGGAGGGGAAAAGAACCACGTTACTGCTGCATTCTGGTCCCAGGGAGAGGCACGCAACAGAGGAGACGTTGCAGGTACAGAGATAAGGGCAGCGAAACCTCACACCCGCTCCAGAGGAGCAGTTTTCACGCAGTTCCTAATCCTGGGGTGATTGATGTCCATGGGGCAGGTTAAAATGAGGGCAGGCCACCTCCTCCATCCCTCCTTCCCAGGGTAATGGTTGGACTTGATCGTCTTAAAGGGCTTTTCCAACCCAGGTGATTCTATGATTCTACCCCTCTTGTACAGGATGCCAGCACCTACCCCACTTCCCAGCACTGGACAGCCCAGCTCAATCCCAGCTCCTGAGCCCAAGCGCAGGGCAAGGAGGGGATGAAATTCCTGCTGCTTTCTGCAGGAATCCATACGGATCGGCTCTCCCGCTTGGAGCCAGACTGGGGGCGAGGGCAGGGCAGATGTGGTCCACGCGTGCTACTTACAAAGATGCTCAAGAGGATGAGATTCCATGGGAAGTACCTCCTGCAAGGGAAGGAGCTGGTCAGAGGAGCAGGGGTGGCACAACAGAAGGGGCTGGGGCAGGGGTGGTGCGAGGGGACAGTCATCCTGGTGGGGATCAGAGTGGGTTTGGGGCGCTCCTAGACCAAGAGACCATCACATCCCCGTGATAAGGGATGTCCTCGTGATAAGGGATGTCCCCGTGATAAGGGATGTCCCCGTGATAAGGGATGCCCCCGTGATAACGGATGCCCCCGTGATAAGGGATGCCCCCGTGATAAGTGCCCTGCTCCATGGAGAGCAAAGAGCATCCTCTGCAGTAGGATGCAGAGGATTCAATGAGCATTCAGAGCCCCCCAGTGATGCAATCTAAGTTGAGCTCTTCATGCCCTGCTGCAGCATCCCATGACTGCATCAGGCTGGAAACACAGCTCCCACCTCCGCCACTACAGCGGGACCAGGTCAGCCTGACCCTGACACTGCTGGGGATGCTTGAAACAAGAGGGAAACCCATCCTTCGCTGTATGAAAGCCAAAAGGAAAAGGTTTTACCTGGGCCCGGAGCAGCAAGCGAGGATCAAGTAGGTCACAAAGAAAACAGCGCTGCAAAGAGGAGGCAAAGAGGAGCTTAGGGAGGCAAAGCCAAGCGAGGAGCGTTAATGCAGGAGAGGAGTCTCCAGGTAAGCGTCAGGGCTTTGCTGCGCTGTTTGGATTGCAAACACCGTGGCTGATGTGGCGTGGGAATCAAGTCGGTTATTACCTGTCACTGCAGGTGCTTCTGCAGCGCTGCAAAAGGCAGTCCCAAGGTGGGACCAACACAAACACCTCTGAATGGGCTTAGAGCGCTTCAGGTCCAGGGCAGGTGGAGCACCCAAGGTGTTCTCCTTGACACCTCATCAGTGCAGGCACTTCCTGGCTTGGGGGCATCAAGGCTGAGCCAAGATTCCCAGGGCTGATGAGAGCCACTTGCTAAGGGCTGTGTTAGGGGAGCTGGTCCCACGTTACTGCACCAGTGCTCAAGGAGGGGCTCAAAAGGAGAAGGGTTCACTGAGGTCAGGGGGTGTTTGAGCACAGGACCCCCCCCTGTGCTGGGCTGCACCCCCAGAGCAGGAGCAGCAGCTCAGGGAGGGGATCCTGCCCCTCTGCTCCCCTCTGTGAGATCCCACTTGCAGCACTGAGAAGGACTTGGAGGTGGTGGAGCAAGGCCAGAGGAGGCCATGAGGATGCTCAGGGGCTGGAGCAGCTCCCATAGGAGCCAGGCTGAGAACACTGGGGCTGGAGCAGAGAAGCTGCGTGGGGAGCTCAGAGCAGCTTCCAGTGCCTGAAGGGGGGTACAAGGATGCTGGAGAGGGACCTGCATCAGGGACTGGAGCGATGGGACAGGGGGTGATGGGTTCAGAGTGGAACAGGGGGAGTTCAGGTTGGAGATGAGGAAGTTCTTCCCTGTGAGGGTGCTGGGGCGCTGGGATGGGTTGAATGGAGAAGGTTTGGATGCTCCATCCCTTGCAGTGTCCAGGGCCAGGTTGGAGCACCCTGCTCTAGTGGAAGGTGCCCCTGCCCGTGGCAGCAGGGGTTGGAGCTGGAGGAGCTTTAAGCTCCCTTCATCCCGACTCTGGCAGCTCACAGACCCCAGCCTCACTCCCCCAGGGCACAGGGGGTTATTCCTCTCTCAGGAGGAGCGCACGGGCGATGCTCTCCCTGCTCCCGGTGTTTTTCCACAGGTTTATGGCACGGGGGGGGGGAACCTGCTTTGAGCCAGCGCCCGGAGGGGGAAGCAGGTTCCGGGTGTGCCGATGGCTGCTCGATAGCCACTGGCTCCGCTCTGACCCAGGGAGGTGAGGGCAAACCCCATGGGCCGTGGTAAAGGCAGCAGAGATAAAGCTGAGCGCTGCTCTCCCACTGGGAAACCAGGAAAGCTGGAGCGGACGCGGCTGAGGGGTGGAAGGAAAGCACACAGGGAGCAAGGAGAGCCCCTGTGGTTGGGCACCCCCAGGGCAAGCCCTGTGGCATCTCCTCTTGCTGGATTCCATCGGCCCAGGAGGAGAACACAACACCCACTTTAGTGTCAGAGGTGTCCATAGGGTTGGGATCTTTGTGCATGAGGGAGATGCAGCCCCGGGATGGAGACACGGGTGGAGGGCAGGGTCGTCTCACTGTGAGGTGCAGGGACAGACTAAAGTCCCTCAGTACAGAGCCTGGCCCAAGACAAGTTTGCTCCTTACTTGCAGCACTGGGTGCGGTGCTGGGGTCCTCAGCATAAGGACATGGAGGTGGTGGAGCAAGGCCAGAGGAGGCCGTGAGGATGCTCAGGGGCTGGAGCAGCTCCCATATGAAGCCAGGCTGAGAACATTGGGGCTGGAGCAGAGAAGCTGCGTGGGGAGCTCAGAGCAGCTTCCAATGCCTGAAGGGGGGGTACAGGGATGCTGGAGAGGGACCTGCATCAGGGACTGGAGCGATGGGACAGGGGGTGATGGGTTCAGAGTGGAACAGGGGGAGTTCAGGTTGGAGATGAGGAAGTTCTTCCCTGTGAGGGTGCTGGGGCGCTGGGATGGGTTGAATGGAGAAGGTTTGGATGCTCCATGCTGGCAGTGTTCAAGCCAGGTTGGACACAGGGGCTTGGAGCACCCTGTGGAAGGGGTCCCTGCCCATGGCAGGACATTGGAACTGGATGAGCTTTAAGGTCCCTTCATCCCAACCCATTCCATGGTCATGATCCTATGATTCTCTTGAAATACAGGAAGAGGCAAGAGATGAACTCAAAGGTGGAAGCGGAGCTCAGTCTGGTCTCCCTACAGGGTAACCCTGCTTCTCCCACCTAGCAAGTGGCCAAGGAGGAGCACACTGTTTCCCTTGAGGGCAAAGAGGCGTGCTGGAGCCTGCTCCCTTCCATTGCTGCCATCCTGGGTCTCTTCTCAGTTATGTAAGTGGTGTCTCATCTCCAGCTCTGGACACGCTTTATGCTTTGGGTGTGAACGCATTCAACCAAGCTCAGGCGATCCCATCCCTGATGCTTCCTGAGCAGCAGCAGCAGCAGCAGCAGCAGCAGCACAAGAGGCACCCAGGAAACCAGCCCAATGCCCACAGGCCAGCACCACCTCCGAGCTGAGCACCGGAACCACGCTTGACTCGGGAATAGCATCCTAAAGGGAACGGCTCCGCGATGAGACCCAATCCCACTCAAACACAGCCTGATGCCTCCGGACGCACACGCAGCCCCCTTCGCTGCCTGCACCCTCCTTCACTTCTCATGTACACCAAGGCGTGTGATGTAAAACCAGGCAATCTCCTTGCTTTCAAAGGGATAATCCCCAAATGAAGCCTCCAGGGTCTCAGAGCTGGGTTTCTGCCCCAGTTTGCTCTGCGGGAACCCCTCCCCTTCCTTTCTGGAAGCGTTTGGAGCAGCATCTCCCATGGCTCGCCCTCATTTCAGGGGGATTTTCCTCTCCTCGCCTCCGTTATCCATGAACCTCCCCAGCTCCCCCCCTTGCACACACACATCGGAGCAATTCTTCACATGCAAGACACATCCCCATCACCGCAGCCCCCTCCAGAGCCGTTTGGAGCACACGTGGCCGTAGGAGAAGGCAGAGATACTCACTAGGAAGCCCAGTACCAGGCAGAGTGGGTCTGGATGTACCCCTTGACGGGCTCGCTGCAAGACAAGAGGGAACGGGTGCTGAGCAGGAAGCATCAGGAAAGCCAAGCCCTGCACCGGGTGCTGCTGAATTCAAGCTGGGATCACACACACCGGGGGGGGGGGATGTGTATCCTGCAGGCAACGTGAGCCAAGGGGGGGATCTGCTCCTGCAGTGGGGGGTAACCCCATCCCCAAGCCCATCTGTGAGAGCTCCCCTAAGGAAGAGCCCAGCACTCGAGGCCTTTTGGCTGGGGAGAGCACCCAGGATACGCAGGACATAGGGAAAAGACCTCTTGGGGTCCCCCAGGTTTGGTTTCCCATTGGAACACACATGGCAAAGCCTCCAGACCCCCCCCCCGCCCCAGGCAATGAGGAGCAGGTCACACACACAGGACAGAGCACCCCAAGAGACCTACCAGAAGGTGAAGAAAGCCACGATAACCACAGTGACCAAGAGCTGGACCATCAGGATGGCGTAGACCTGCAATGAGAGGAAGCCCACGGGTGACCCACGGGCTCTCTGCTTCCCAGGCAGCCGGGTCCCTTCTGGTGGCCTGCTTCCATAGGGAGAAAAGTGGGATTCCAGCCCCTTACCTTCCGGATGAAGACCCTGCGCACGCTCCTGTCATCCCAGCTGAAGGTGGTGAGCATCTCCGTGTCCCCTGGGTACCCACCGCTGCCATAGCTGGGGCTCGTGCCTGGAGCAGAAGCCAGAGAGGTCAGGTCCCAGCTCCCAGCTCCCTCCCCAGCTGCAATAACGTGGCCCCAGGGAGTGCTTGGGAACCCCCACGTTCTTTGCTGGGATACCCCTGCTCCCACCTCATCCCCGCATCCCATTAGCACCATCGCTAGGGAAACCACGCTGTGCACGGTGAGGATGCGAGGGTTAACTCCTGCCTCTGGTGACACCGGATCTCCAGTGGGAATTCGAGAGCTCCTCTGGGATCCTTGCTCAGCTTGCACTGAATGTGAAAGCATCTCCCAGCGGAGCTGTGACTCAGCACCTCCCATGCTGAGGATTCCCTCCCTGCTGGCGCTCAGGCTCTGCCTGCATCTTGGGCCCTCACCTCAAGGAGCAGCTCCTTCCAACTGGCTTCTCCATCAGATCCATCCCTAAGGTCCCAGTTCCATGCAGGGAGCCAGTTAACAGCGAGCCCAAACAAGGGGGAAACAACACCAGTGACTGCCTGGGCCCGGATCATCACCCCACACAACCCTATCGTGCCCTGCAATACAAGCTCCTGTTGCTGGAGGTGCCCTGCAGGTGGGGGGCAAGGAGAAAGGCTGGACCACGGAGCATCACTTTGCCTGAAGGGAGGTGGAAGGAAACCCTGGGAAAGCTCTGCTGCTGGCTGAAGGCAGCAGTGAGGATGCTGCAGGGCAGGGGCTGCAAGAGAGACCCAAAGCAGCAGCTTCTCCCTGCTCAGATCAGAGGCTCAAATGAAATGAATTGGCCTTTTCCATCTGCTGAACCTCAGACTCAAGAAACCCTAAAGCAAACACAGAGTCCTCCTTGGCTCAGTGCATCATCCCCCTGTGCTATTTGCTTCTCCTGCAAACATCCCCTTCAGTGTTAGCAGTGTTCTCCCTGCCTGGGTTCCTATAGAACACAGGCTTAAGCGAGTGCACCAGCTCCAAGTTCATGTTTGACAGATGCCTCCCCTCCTTCCCAAAGCTCTGTGATGCTCCCATCCTCCAGGCAGGAGGAGGAAGGACCCCCTCAGCCTCGGGATGCAGGCTGCAGGCACCAGGAAACCCAAGGTCTTTGCTCAGTGATGCTCCCATCCTCCAGGCAGGAGGAGGAAGGACCCCCTCAGCCTCGGGATGCAGGCTGCAGGCACCAGGAAACCCAAGGTCTTTGCTCTGGTTTGGCCGTCCAAGTTGGTTGCTCTCATTGCAAAAGCCTCATCATGCAGCAGGAAACAAAGCCCTTGTGCTCTTCATGTGCTTAATCCACCTCTTGTGCCTCCTTCTATGCCCCAGTGGAGATGAATCTCAGGCAGTGCACCCTCCCTTCATCACTGTGAGAGCTGTCACCACCACGCAGGGCTGAGAGCACCCCAGGGCCACATCCCCACGACACCTCAGTGCCTCCTTTGTCAGAGCCATCAAGGCATCTAAACACCGTATTAGACACCTAAGTGCCTCGGAGGAATGGAGGCTGCCCTCCTCCCATCACCTCCCATCCGGGGCCACAGCCAAGGCAGCAACGCAGCGTGCCCTGAGCTCCCAAAGCACACACCAGTTCTTTCCAGTTGCTCCCAGTCCCATACAAGCTGTCAGACACAGCCCCACGGCTTGCGTCCCTGCGGGCCCGGGCACAGGGGCTTGTAGCATGGCCGAGGAAAGGGGGGAAGAACATGGAATCAGAGGAGAACCCCAGCAGGGATCAGGGAATCCTGGCAGGCTTGTCAGGGAGGGCACAAGAGGTGACACATCACCTAAACAGGCCCCTGGGGTGAGCCCGGATCCCAGCATCCTTAACCCATTTGGGCTTTGCCCATCCTAACCCATCAGTAAGGAAGACCCAGAGCGTTGCTGGAGCAAGCTGGGAGGTTTCTTATCCCCCTCTTTCTGCCTCCTGACAGCAAACAGGGATGAGAAGCCTGTGAAACCACCAGTGGACAAGCGCACATCCCTCAGAGGGGTCTCGCTCGCTCTGTCCCCTTCCCTAAGCATCTCCATCCGCACTGGATGGAACAGGCAGGCAAAGCACAGATGAGGAAGAGGATGGAGCAGGGATACTGGACTCAAGCGGTGTTAAACCCAGGCCCTCTAGCTCAAGCTGTGCTGACCAAGCACTCGGCCACCCCACCACCCCTTGCCGGCCGTGGCTCCTGCATCATCCCATTGGAGCTACCCAACCCTTCCCCTGCACAGGGCACAGGGGAGCCTTTGTCCCCGTGTCGCGACCAAGCAGGAGCTGCTGAGAGCACCCAGGGAAGAAAAGCTGTTTGTTTGCTGAGGAACCGGCCTCACACTGGAGCAATTGAGCCCTCGAGTGGAGCTGCTTCAGCCTCGGAGCAGCCGGGCATCACCGATGGAGCGCGCTGATCCTGCCAGCTCAGCGGCTGCTCTCAAAGCCGGGATGGAGCAAGAGATGGAGAGGAGGGGGGGGAGAGCTGCTGCCTGCAGAGCCAGGAGTGTGGCTCCAAGCCCTGGGAGCAGGCTGGGAGAGGGGATTATTCCCATCCCAGCACTGGGAAGGAGCGCGGAGCGCTGGAGCTCAGTCCCACCTCAGTGTGGTCTTGTGGCTGGATGAAACTACCTGTAGATAGAGCCGTACATGGCTTATAGCTGCAGCTCGAGGGTGAGCTCTACCATGGACCAGCCCAGGCACCCTGCATCCCCGCATCCCCTCTTCTCTACAACGGGGATTCTCTGCACCCCCGAGTACAGACACACAGGGACTTACTGGGGTCCACGTAAGCCCAGCTGGGGTGCAACGGGACTGAGGGAGGAGGAGGGTAAGCACCCGCCTTCATCCCTTCTCCCGCTGTCGCCTCTTCATAGCTCGGAGGTGCTGGTGGAGCCGAGGCATTTTCCTTCTTCTCCCCCTGCCCCTCGGAGCTGGGGGGTTTGTTATTCACTGAGAGCTGCACAGGAGGAAAAAGGGGGGGTCAGAGCATCAAACCAGCACAGGAACCGCCCTGCAATGGGGACCCAATGGGGCATGGATGGAGATCTGGGGGCCCTCCACTGGAAGGACCCTCAGCAACTCAATGGACCCATCCTGCATCCCTAGGATGGAGCAGCTTAAAGTGTGATTGAGGGAAGAGATGGGGAGAAGAGGGGACATGTTAAAGGGGATGGAAAATACAAGCCCCCAGCTCTGAGGCAGACACAGCCTTGCCCTGGGTCCTCTTGGTGCCTCCAGCTCGTGTGTGATGCTGGGAAACATCCAGAGAATTCTCTGCTTTTCAGCCTCCTTCTGTCCCAATCTCCCCTTTAGTTGCTGGGTAGAACCCCCTGAACTCCTCCATCTCCACTCACAGCCCCCAGCAACTGCCCTGGTTTGGTGCCCTCAGCGTCTCCTTCCGGAGGTGCAGCTGAGGGACCTTGGCACCCCTCAGACCATGTAACCCAAGCAAAGAGCATCCTCAAGGCTACCTGAGAACCTGCTTCTCCTTGGCAGCGCTACCCCTTTCACCTTCGAGATCTTTGTCAGACCTGAGCCTGTTTTCCACCCTTGCTGCCAAAGGGGGTGCCAGCTCAGTGTCAGCATCCCCATGGATCACAGGGATGTGGGGTTGGAACCAGAAGAAGCCCCAAATGAAGGCGGCAGACTGACCAGCACTGCAACAGGGGGCACAGTGCCTGTAAGAAGGGATTAAACCAAAGGTGTGCCAGGCACAGGGATATGCATCAGGAGAAGCTCCGATTGCATGGGGATAACGGTGCCACTTGTCTGCCAGCCCATAGGAACCATCCTCACCCCATCCTTCATTACATACCCTTGTGTACAGGGTGGACAGCATCATACAAGACCCCCCCGGCCCGGAGGTACCCAAGCAGATGCAGGAGGGATGGTGCGGCTGCATCCAAGCAGCCTCCAGCCACCGTTGCCAAGGCAACGATGCACTGTGCTGGATGCACACACACACACACACACACACGCCCTCCCTTGGGTTCAGAGCATGGGTGAACCCCAAAACCAGAGCTCCCTGGACCAGGGATGAGGTGCTGAGGGCAAGTGCTCAGTGCTGGCTGCGGGGTGGGGGGGCACGGGTGGGAAACACGAGCACCCCATGAGCCCCCTGACATCGGGATGGGTGAACGGCCACAGGTCCAGCAGCGGGAGCTGAGCTGCACACGCAGCACCAGGACAAGCAGCCCCCGGCCCCATAACAACACAGCCACCCCCGGCCATGGCACCGAGCTGGGCTCTGGTCCCCAGCTCCCCTCCCCACAGTGGTTTTATCCCTTTACCCCCTCCCTTCAACCCGTTTTCCCCCTCTCAACACGCAAGCAGGACCCATCCATCACCCAGCGCTGGCCTCCCACCTACCTTCCCCTGGGTCATGGCTCCTCACTTGGTGATGCTGCGGGAGCAGCAAAAGGGCCGGGGCTGAGCTGGAGCCTCCTCGTCGGGTCCCTTCCACCCCTCTCCGGGGATGTCTCGGGGCTGCTGCAGCCGCCGCAGCCTCCGCAGCCTGCGCTGATGCCTTCCCCTTCTAGCAACATCCACGGAGGGAGGGACTGTACCATTCCCAGCCGGCAGCACAGGGGAAGCCGGGAGAGAAAGGGCGAAAACGGGAGCGAGCGGCCGGCAGGAGCCAGGCGGAGGATGCAGGGACACAGCGTGGGAAGCAGCAGGACAGGGGATGCTGGACTCGGGGCTGGGAGGGCAAAAGGGAAGGAGATGGGAAGGATGCTTGGCTGCAGCATCCCTGTGCTGCTGCATGGGCTGGGCACAGGACATGGGTTGTCCTGGTGGGGGGGGGGGGGGCTGGAGGCTCCTGTGGGGCAGGAGAAAGGCCTGAGCTCGACTCCGTAACATGAGAGCAGGAGGGAGAAAGTGCACAAAGCACTGGATCCCTTCCCAGGCTTTGCATGGAGGGGGATAGAGAGGATAAGGCTCATTTGCCCCGTATGCCTTGGCCTCTCTGGAGTGGTGCAGCCACAACTGGGGGGCATAAGGAGGGTTTGGAGGGGTCCCAGAGCACCCAGCAGACCAGAAGCACCATGAAGGCCTGCACTGAAGCAGCCTTATCAGTTCAAGCCCATGAAGGCTAAAGGGGGAGCCCAACATCCAGCCCAGAGCATCTCCAAAGGAAGAAGCACAACGTGAATGAGGCTTTGCCTCCCATGACAGGGTCTAGGGCAGGGAGATGGAGACATCTCCTCTTGCACCACAGGCAGCAGGCAGGAGGGGGAAAAACCTCTCTTTACACAGTGACCTGCTTCATATGGGCCAAAAACCTGCCCAGGACAGAGGAAGAGACAGTACAAACACAGCACACCCTCTACCCAAACACATGAAGAGACAGGCTCATGATGGATGAGAGCTGTCAGCAGAGCCTTGCGCTGGGTTCCCACCAAGGAAAGCACAGTTCTGGGACCACACTCAGGCTGGGAGCTGTGCCCCTGTATCCCAGCTCTCCATATCCTCCCTCTGCTCCTGCCCTAGCCCCTCCAAGTCCTGTAGGGCTTGCCATGCCATAAACATCACACCTCAAGTGAGCTTCCCAGGTCTACAATACAGGTACAAGAATTAAATCAGCTTATCTGCTCACTCGCATCAGTTCAAGCCCGTGCAGAAGGGGCTAAAGGGACCATGAGCATCATGAACCCCCAGCACTGAAGCAGTGTTATCAATTCAAGCCCATACAGTAGGGGCTAAAGGGACCATGAGCATCATGAAGCCCCTGCAGAGACCACAAGCATCATGAAGCCCCTGCACTGAAGCAGTGCTATCAACTCAAGCCCATGCAGAAGGGGCTGAAGGGACCATGAGCATCATGAAGCCCCAGCACTGAAGCAGTGTTATCACCTCAAGCCCATGCAGAAGGGGCTGAAGGGACCATGAGCATCATGAAGCCCCTGCACTGAAGCAGTGTTATCAATTCAAGCCCATACAGTAGGGGCTAAAGGGACCATGAGCATCATGAAGCCCCAGCACTGAAGCAGTGCTATCACCTCAAGCCCATGTAGAAGGGGCTGAAGGGACCATGAGCATCACGAAGCCCCTGCACTGCAGAATGAAAAAGGGCCTGGCTGCACTTCAGGCTCCCTAAGAAGAGCCTGCAAGGCACAGGGGTTGAAAAGCCCGTCCCCACGCTCAGCTCCCGCAGAGCAGAGGCAATGGATGGGTTAAGAGGGAAGCATGAGCTGGAAATGAAAGAATGCAGCCAGGCAATGCAGAGCTGGCGGCGGCAGAGCCCAGCCCCAGCCATTCAAGTGCACAGGGGCTGCAAATACTTGTCAGGGTTATTCAGAACCAGTGAAGGGAACCACAAGGAGCCTCAAGGGCTGAGCAGAGGCGTCAAACTGGGCAGGTCCCCAGCCAGGGACAGAAACTGAAGGCAAGGAAGCTGGGCTGGGCTCCTGGTGCCCCTTCAAGCACCGCATGAGCAGAGGGCTCAAGGGCTTGGGAAGTGAAACTGCAGCTGACACAAGGCATTCGGGTGAGAGGAGGCACCCATGGCCTTAACTCATCGCCTGCAGCCTGTGAAGAGGGGCTGAAGGGACCACGAGCATCGTGAGGCCCCAGCACTGAAGCAGCGTTTATCAGTTCAAGCCCATGAAGGAGGCTAAAGGGGGAGCCCAGCATCCAGCCCTGAGCATCTCCAAGGGAAGAAGAGCAAAGGGAAGGCAGGTTCTTTGGTGGGACAATGCAGGACCCCACGTGCTCCATCCCCAGGTGAAGATGCAGCAAAGAGCTAAAATGCTGGGTCTGGAAGAGGAAAAACCCTCAGCAAAGAGGAGCAGGTGGCATTGCCTACCACAACACAGCCCCCTCCACCACGCTGGGGTCCACAAGGCCCATTCCCACCCCAGGGGCTCTCAAACAAACCCAACACCAACAGGGAATGTTCCCAGGAGAAACCATCGTGGAAGATGAGCTGGGAGAGCCTGGGGGCTGCAAGGGGCTTGGGGTGAGGCTCAGCTCTGCCATGGAGGAGACAAGGATGCTGCTGCCCAGCTGATAGCACTGAAGAGCAGAACCCTTCAGGCCATGCAGGGAGCATCCTTCTCCATCAAAGAAGCTGCTCCAAGCCTGGTTCTTTGCTTCCCTGTTTGAGCTGGAAGCTCTTAAATGCCAAGAATGTAACGAAACCATAGAATCACAGCGTGGTTTGGGTTGAACAGACCTTAAAGCTCACCCAGTTCCTCCCCTCTGGCAGGTTAAAGCCATTCCCCCTTGGCCTGTCCCTACATCCCTTGTCCAAAGCCCCCCTCCAGGTTTCCTGTAGCCCCTTTAGGCACTGGAGCTGCTCTAAGGTCTCCCCTTAACGATGATGGCATCACCTGGCAGATGCAATGGGAGGATGCAAGAGGAGAGCCCGGGCTGCGATGGTGGCACACAACAACCATCCAGCATCCCCCTTCCCTCTCCCTGCCTGTCCCCGTGGTCCAGCTCAGCGCCGGGCTGCAGCAGCCCCATCCTCCTGCACGCAACCACCTTCAATCCCCTGCAAAGCCAATGGTGGAAACCTCTTTGAAGGCTGCGCCCTGCCAAATCCAGCGGGGATTTCACAGGGATTAAAGCAACTTTGCTGAACACTCAATCACATCAAAACCGAGGTAAAGGAAACCCGATGGGATAATTAAGGGATCTGCTGCATCGACAGACACGGTGGCACACCCAGGAGCCCTCTGTAAAGCTGCTTTCCTGCAGCCCCAGGGGGATGTCCTGTGTCTCCCCCACCCCGCGCTGGCACCCAATGCTCTGCCATGGGCTCCAAATCCAAACCCCATGTGAAAAGGGAGGAATTCACCCCAGGCTCTGAGGCTGCTGAGTTATCCATGGATTATTCACGGCAAATCCTGCAACCAGGCCTGGTCCCTGGGCTGGAGATTCAGATGAAAGCTGCGAACATCAGGGTGCGCATGAGGAGGTGTTGAGGATAAAACCGCCCTTATTCCATGGGCATTCCAAGCCCAACCCTCATCTCCATCCTGCCAGCAGCCCCAGGTGGGGTCGGAAAGGACCTTAACGCTCCTCCAGTTCCAAGCCCTTACCATGCAATATGGGGAGCTGGACAAGGCAGAACCATTTGGGGTGGGATGCTCTTAGTGGCCTCTGCAGCGTTAGTCTCTAGCTCAAGCCTTGCGAGCCAACACTGTTGCCCCAGCTAAAACCACCCCAAAGCAAACCCCAAGCTTCCATCACCCCCTTTAGACCCTCAGTGCTCCATTGCCTGAAGAAGTTCCTGCAACCTGTACCCAACTGAGCTCTCTTTAAGCCTCAGAAAGGCCTTTTAACCAGCGAGGGCTCAAACCCCAGTGGTGGGCAGATGTTGGGGACCATTGAATGAGTCTCTCGAGCTCTTTGCCCATGTGTGGGGCTGAGATAGCGCCAAGATTTGGGTTCTTGGAGGAATTCGCCTTGCTTTGGCTCAGGGACTCCGGAGCTGTGATTTTGATGGATGTCAAGGAGCAGGGTCCCAGCGCTGGGGTTTAACCCTAACCAGAAGCAAAACGCGGGATGCCCACGGAACCCATGGGGGAGCAAGCACCCCACACGTGTCTGCTCCAACCAGGCGAGCAGCTCAACGCGGCCAGGAGGCTCTGCCCAGGATTAGGCTGCTCAGGAGCGCGTTGCCCTCGTCGCTGCCAGAAGAACGGGTTCTCAGCCCCGGTGTGCGCATGGGGTGCTGTGAAACGAGAGGAATTGCATAAGTATGCAAACCTGCCCCACAGGGATGGGGCGGGGAATGGGGGGGGGGGCATAGAACAGGTTTCGGTGACACTTGGAGTGACACCTTCATGCCACTGTGCAGCTGCTTCTTTAAGCTCTTAGGGAGGAACTTGATGCAAGGCAAGGCAAGGATGCGCACAGGAATGTGAAGAATCCTTGTGAGCCTCCCCCTAAGAAGGGAGCCTGGTGCTGCTGCTGCTGCTGCAGCCAACACTGGCACCCAGACTGTCAGCATAGGATGGTTAGGGATGGAAAGGACCTTGAGATCATCTCAGGTCTACATAAGATGGAGAGAAAGAGCTTCCCTGTGCGTGTGCTGTGCTGCATCCCCAGAGCAGGAGCAGCAGGTCACAGAGGGGATCCTGCCCCTCTGCTCTGCTCCCATGAGACCCCTCTTGCAGCACTGTGTGCAGTGCTGGGGTCCTCAACGTAAGGGCATGGAGCTGTTGGAGCGAGTCCAGAGGAGGCCATGAGGATGAGCAGAGGCTGGAGGCCTTTGGGCACTGGCTGGGAGGGCCCAGTGACACCAAGAGCTATGGGGCAGGCAGCACCTCCCCATGGCCATGCAACAGCTCTGCGCCGATGGTGACGTTGCACTTGCCAAGCTCTGTAGGGTCGGGATGCAGTTGAGTCTTGAGTTGAAGCTGCCTCTGAGCCTCCGTGTTCAGATCCCAGCTCCATCCTCAGATCCCAGCTCCAAGATCCACCAAAGCGGAGGCAGGAGCAGCTTCCTGACCTCAAACCGCCTGCTTGGTTGAATGGCTGGGAGGGTTCTGACATCTCTGCTGGCTTCCTGTGTGCCCGCTGCACTGCAGCCTTAACCAAGCCTTTCTTCCCCCTCTATGGACCACAGAGTTTCT